GCTTAAAATGTCTGTTATACTATCGTACGTCTTGTCCTACTTGGACACTCAGCCGGGGGAACTTCGTCGTGATGCTTTTGAAGATTTTCTGCGAGCCCTTCGCCAAGTATCACCATACCTGGCTGTGTTGACAGAGTTTGGAATTGCCAGTTCTCGACTGTCTGTGGAGTGTGAGGGAGTGTGAGGGAGACGGCGCTTACTTGATATGCGCCTGTCAAAATGACCTTTGGTAAATAGGCTATTCAATTTGCAAATCGAAGCTCAAAACTCATAAAAATGTGTCAGTTGAAAACGATGTATGTCAGATTCGCAAGACATATAGTCTAGCTCTATAGGAGTTACAGGAGACAAAGAGATTCCTGGACTTGAATGCGTTGCCGTCTTCAGGAATCTCAAGTACAGATTTTCAGCATAGGCGCCACTCTATAGCGTCTGTTCTGCCCAGAGAGTCGCAACGACGGATATAAAATTAATCGCAACAAATTGTTTATTCTTCGATCTTCATATAGTCAAGTGGCCATTGACCTGCTTAAAAACCAGCGTTTTAGACAGATTGAGATGTTCATATATTATATATGGAAGGAATTGGTCGCTCAAGTATACTGCATAAAAACTTACACCAAGAAAATTAGGATCTTAAAAATTTTTTGTCTTATTATTGAGCTAAAATGTTCATTAGTCTGACAAGATTGATATTTTGATGATGATTATTTAGCACAAGTTTTAAATAGTCCTACCGTTAGCTTGTGACCAACCTGGAGGTACATGTAGGCTTTCTAGCTTCAGACTGATATGAGTAGATGTTATTACTCACTGACCGCTAGGTGGTATAGTAGCCATGACCCTGTTATAAATGTCAAGCAGATCGCCCCCCTCCCCCTCCCCTTCCCTGTTCATTTTATCCATTTTGATGTACGTTTTGAGGTTTATCATTTTCTCGGGGATTAAAGGAGGAGTGGTTGCACGCCTTTTTCTATCCTAAGCAGATAATTATGAAAAGGTAATTTTTTAAGCATTTGAAGATGGTCATGTGGTATTTAGTGTTTTTAAGGCTTTGTCTCTGAATTTGATGTTTAGTAATACCACCCTCCTTGTTTAATTGGCAACTAACTTATATACTATATATTCCAATTAGTTATGTTTCAGTGGTTGTAAACCTTCAAAACTGTCACTGTGATTTTTTTTCCTCATGAGAATTGGAAAGATTATTGCACGGAACATATTTGACCGAAAATAATTTATTTTATCGTAGGGGACCACGAAAGAAACTATTTCATATTAATCTTATTGATATATATTTGAATGAAAATGTGATTTCTATAATGTGCGGTTAAACCGCGTATTGAGGCTTTAAATAACGCTTTATGTTCTGTATCATGTTTTAATTTTCAAATATCTGTTTTATTACTATGTGAATTCTATTATATACTTAATTAACCATGAGAAGAGAAATATTTAAGGCTTGTGCTACAGTTTCGAGAGCAAACCCTGTGAAAAATATTCGCTAGGACTTGTGTTCTAGATGTAGTAAAACTCAAATCAGATTATGTACATTTTAGTGGATGAGCTAACGAAATCGATCGTGCGAGGAGAACATATTTAGTCTGAATAGTCTCATAAAGAAAAAAAGGCGACAA